AAAAAAAAAGTCATAAAAAAAATAATAAGTTTGTGCTGACACACTGCTGCACAACATTTTATAACAAATACTTGACAAATTAATTTTCAGTTGGGCCCACATGACTGATCAGCTGTAAATGTATCAGAGAGGAATACAAAAATCAAATTTGGGGCAGTGAGGCCACTAGGGGAGTGAGGGATGTGGACTACACCTGGCGACGTTGGGGGGTATCACCAAAATGACTGTCTATAACCCTGTGCAGCAGTGCGTCAGCACAAACTTACTATTTTCTATAAGAAACATCACTGTAGTTAATAACAAAAATATATACTCCATAGCCCAGCTTGCAGACCTAGAAGGCCCAAACTCTATGCTGATTTACTTTTCTGAGTCTTCTAGAGTAGAGCTTGGCGATCAGGTTGTTGTACTATGTTGGCGTAGCTGTTGCTGTGTTTCTGGACGTTAAGGCACCAGTATTTCAAATACCAGAAGGGCCACTTAAGGTGACAGGGTTCATCAGGGCTTCCAGACCAAGAATAAACTACCAAGAAGACATGGTCCCCATGAAAACCTTACGGATAGCGGCAGAACACTGTCAGCTATAGTCAACCATAATGACATCGATGGAGTAAAACTTTGGGGACCTTTATTTCCTGGTAGGTCACAACTCAAAATGAGAAGAAACAGCTGCAAACATCCATTAATAATTGGAAAGTGCAATGTTCCATGTATGAACTTCAAAAAAATTGGAAGTTGTCGAAATTGCAGAAATGGACTGATATTGACCATTTCAAATCAGACAATCTTGGTTTACTACGCCGTGAATGACAAATTCCAGAGGAATAGTGTCACGTTCATGGTCAAAAGGATCATTCCAGCTTGCTTGTATGCACCTCGTTATAAAACAAAATAACTGAAACCTCAAGGGAAGATTGAAGCAAACAAGAACTCCATGTGATTTTTCAAATAGAAAATATTGAGTCCAAGTACTTTTTAAAAACTTTACCATTTTGGACATTTAAAAGCATATAAATTTTAGAGATAGTGTGATGGACCCCATATACTCTTGTTCAGCTCCAAGAATGATCAACTGACCTATCTTGTTTCATCTACATCTCTTCCACCTGCTCCCTACCATGCACTCAAGATTTGCGTCATCATTTAATACATCATTGTCTTTTTTGTAAATCACGCATTACCATATGTCTTTGAAAAAACTTTCAAATCAAGTCAATTCCAGCGCATAGCAATCCTACATAGGGTTTCTGAGGCTGTATGTATTTAAAGGATCAGAAAGTCTCACCTGTCTCTTATGGAGTAGCTGGTTAGTTCCAACTGCTGATCTTGCAGTTGCAACACAACACATAAGGCCTTAAAAATGTCTACAATACCATAAATAAATCTAAAATATTTATAATTTCTTAACATGATTCAATATTTCATTAGAATACGTATTTGTCTTATTGGGTTGGGTAAACCAAAATGGAAAGAAACTATGCACATTTGATTAATATGTCTCAAAGGTGTCTTTTAACCTGTAGGCCATCCTATATCTTTTCTTACAACCATATGTTAATCAGGCCAGAGGTATGTTCTGGATTTGCTGTTTGCATGCCAGTGGTGCCATTTTAACATGTTCTTTAATCTGTATTTCCAATAAGCCAGTAAGAAATAACAAGTTTAACATGTTTAGTTTTTTTGCCAGAAGACTTCATAGTATGTAGGCAAATGGAGGCACATAATGTCTCTTTGTTTGTTTTTTACTTTTTAAAAATTCATTTTATTTGGGTCTCTTACAGCTCATGTCACAATCCATGCATACATCCATTGTGTCGAGCACATTTGTACGTATGTTGCCATCATCACTGTCAAAACATTTTCTTTCTACTTGAGCCCTTGGTATCAGCTCATTTCCCCCCTCCCCGCCCCTCCCTCATAATTTATAAACTTATAATAATAATTTATATATTTTTTTTATGTCTTACACTGACCTGCTGTCTCCCTTCACCTACTTTTCCGTTATTCATCCTCCTGGGAGGGGGTTATATATTGACCATTGTGATCGGTTCCCCCCTTCTTTCCCCACCTTCCCCTTACCCACTTGGTATTGTTTTTCACTTTTTATAAAATCAAGATTAATCAGTGGTTTCTAATGTCATCAGCCTGATCCACCTATTACAATGTTCCCGATCAGATTTTATTCAAATGGCTTTTAGTAACTAGTTGTTTTTGGCTGGGTTCTCTAGAGAAGCAAAACCATTGATACTTATATCTGTATGTGGATAGATTTGTCTCCAAGAAATGCCTCACAATTGCACAGGCTGGTAAGTCCCAAATCCACGGGTGAGATCTAAAGCTAGAGGCTTCTGATTAACATAGCTGCAGGGCCTGACAAACCCTAGGTCATCTGGTCAGACAGTAGGCTGCTAGTTCCCAGGCTCTGGAGGTTAATGAATCCCAAGGTCAGAAGGCAATATGGCAGGATGCTGGCTCAAGCCCCAAGAGCCAGAGGTACAACGATGAGAACGGATGCAGGATCATCAGAGGTGTAATGATGAACAAGCAAAAAGCTAGAGGGTTTTGCCAAGATATCCATATATATTTGGTGCAAGGTCACACTTCCAAAGAAACTCCCTTTACAAAGGATAAGATTGGTAAATCTGCACAAGAGCTCTTGAAAATGTTGAAAATGGATGTTACTTTGAGGCCTAAGGTGCACCTGACCCAAGCCATGGTATTTTCAATGGCCTCATTCACATGTGAAAGTTGGACATTGAATAAGGAAGACCGAAATAAGAAATTATGCATTTGAATTATGGTGCTCGCAAAGAATATTGAAGGTCCATGGACTGTCAAAAGAACAAAC